CCCTACCCCTCCGGGCCTCAGTGTCCCCATGGGCAGCCGGACTCACCGTCATTGACCACAGGCACCCACGTGTGCAGCTGGCCCTTGTACAGCATAGCATCGAAGTGGCTGCACTGGACTTGGCGGAAGGAGGGGCGGCCGGTAGGGCAGGCCTGCAGGTTGCACAGGCGGAAGCGCTTCCGCTCGCCCACGCAGTATTTGCCCCTGTATTTGGGCCTGTGGGGAGAGCCGAGGTGGGGGCAGTCAGTGCGCGGTGACAGTGACCACGTACCTGGATCCACAAGTAGGTGCTCAGAGCGAGCAGCTCCGCCTGCATCCCTAGCACCCGGAGCTTCCCGCCGCCCACCCTCTGGCCCAGACACATTCTCCCTGCTTGAAAGGCTCTCAGAGAAGGTGACAGCAGAAAGCCTGGGCTCTTCCCCCAGCCTGCTGCGTGACCTTGGCCAAGTCTTTGCATCCTCTGGGCCTCGGTTTCCTCATCTATAAAATGGGATAGGGGCTGCCTCTGAGAGGCTAGGCCAAGCTGCAGACGTGACTGGCACTCGCCGGAGGGGCCACTCCAAGTGTCCAGCCCATGAAGCCCGGCGTCCTGACAGCCTACATGTCAGCAGACGCTTTCCTGATGGTAGCCCAGGTCAAAAGGAAGCCCACCAGGCCTGGCCCAGCCCAGAGGTCTGTCCCCGAGTACAGAGGCTGAACCCCAACCCCACCCCATCTGGGTAGCTGCCCCCAACCCAGCTCAGACCTGGTGGCTGAGAGGCAGGGAGGGGCACAAGCACACAGCCCTAGAAGGACCCAGCTCTGAGTCCCACACCCACCTTGGTGAAGGGGGCTCATCCGAAGGGGCCGGGCAGCCCCTCAGTCTAGCGCACAGCTGGCCCCTGCATCTCCCTGAATCTTCACATCACCCCTCTTAGATGGGGAAACTGAGGCCCAGAGGGATGAAGTCACTCGCCCCAGGTCACAGAGCGACCCTCCCAGGCTGACCAATTCTCCCAGCTACCTCCAGTCTCATCTCGGACCCACGTATACCACTAAGTGGCTCTGTTTACTGAGCACGTGCTACAGACTAGCTGCAGGGTGACAGCTTTCCCTGCACGTACTGCATTTAGCCTTGACAACTCCCGGATGGGTACTGCTGTTGCCCCACCACACACTTTCTCTGGAAATTGAGGCCCAGAGAAGGGGTGGAGAGGGGATTTGAACCCTGATCCATCTAAGGTTAAGGGTCTAAGCTCTCAGCCACTGCCCTCTCTTGCCTCCCTCCTGCAGCCATAGCTTGTGTGGCCTCGGCGGAGTCCCTCTAGTCTCTGGGCCTTAGTGTCCCCCTCTCCGCAATGGCAACTCAGTCAGCCTCGGGGGCATGCCTAGAAATGACCAAGGTGGGTCTGGATACTCCGGGCTTGGCCTCCATGGGGACACTTCTGAGAGTGGGAGGCTGGGACAAAGCCAGGGTCCCTGCAATCAGCTGCTCAGGGCGCTGGACTCCACCTGCCCCAGGCCCCACACTCACACAGGTTGCGTGCACTGCCGCTCGGCGCTCTGCACGCCCACGCCGCAGCTCCGCGAGCAGACGGACCAGGCGCTCCAGCCAGACCAGCCACCGTCCACGGCCTCGGGCCGGAAGCCCACAGGAACGCACTCCCCATTCAGACACCACTACCAAGACAGACAAAGGTAGCACCACCCCGCCCCAAGCTCCTCATTCTGGTGAGAATGAGGTGGGTGGAAGGCCTGGGAAGACCCAGAGGGGAGGACCTAAGGGGTGCGGGAGTCCCCTTCCAGTCACCCAAGACCGAGACCCCACAGTGGAGCCAAGCAAGGAATAAAACAGAGCCCACGTGCTGACTCTCTGGGCTGCAGGTGCCTTGAAGAATCACCCAGTCAAGCTCTGGCCCAAAGCCTCCATTCTGCAGATGGGCACTCGGGCCAGAGGGTGCTGAGGGTCTGCTAAGAGCACGGGCAAGCCTGCGAGCCAAGGCCAACCCCAGGCACAAACACAGCAGGAAGGCTCACCTCTCACCCCCTCCACAGCTGGACTGCGGGGCCCCTACCTTGCTCTCCCCACACCTGGTACCGTCCACAGCTGCATCCAGCTTGGAATGACATGTGGTCCCCACGGAGCACCAGAGTGTGTGGCAGACATTCTGCAAGGAGGACGGCAAGGGCCACAGCCTCACCTCCTCCCCAGCACCGCCGCCTGCCCTGCCCCCTCGCTATTCCCCTCTTTGGGGCTGGCACATGTTGGGGTCTATAGATGGAACCCCCAGAGGTCCCCTCTTGTCTTCTTTTGACCAGGTGGTGTGGGGGGCCCTGGGTTGGGCCCCAAGGCTTGGGTTTGCGTCCCCAGCCTGCTGATTCTTCTGGTTGGAAGCTGCAGGGTCCCTGACATGCCTGTGGCCATCGCTTTGGGCCATCCTCCCCAGGACCCTGCGGTAGATTTCCTTTTACCTCTTACGATCCAGCTCCAGTAGGTGAGGGGCTTGCCCAAAGTCCCACAGTTGGTAAATGGTCCACCCAGAATTCGACCTGGGTCTGTGGCCACCCAACCCCACGGCCTCTCCCATGGGCCACTTTATGTCTCATGGGCATCACGTGTGGGCCAAGCTCAGGCCAGGTGGGGTCTGCAGGCAGCTGAGGGCTCTCCAACTCTCCCCTGCCCACACGTGCCCCACACTCACGTCCATGTCATCACAGAAGACAGAGTAGGCCCCGTACTGGAGGCGGCACTGGTGGCCCACGTCATAGAGGACGCCAGGTGGCACCGAGGGGAAGTCGATGACATCCTTGGCAGGAGAGTCGTCCAGGCAGAGGCCCCACCCACGGCTGCAGAGATGGGACAGGAGTACGGAGTGAGGGGAACCATCAGGGAGGCCTCAGCCGGGCCAGGAGGGCAGGGGAGGTGGGAAGGGACTTACAGCCCTAAACTTACAGAAGAACGCGAGCCTCCTTGCTCATCTGACCTATTCTCTAACCCAAGCTTGCGGGAAAGGCCTTCCCAGCCCCTCCCACCCACCTCCAGGGCCCTCCAGCTGGCTGAACCACTATCCCTGCCCTCCAGTGCCAGGCGAGTAGACACATGTGGGCACTGGCACCCACAACACTCTCCCCAGGATCCTGCCCAGAGGCCCCTCCCTCTCAAGCCTCCTGGACCACTAAGCCCTCACATAACCCTGCTCTGAGTTCCTGCAGCTTCCAGCCCTCAGCCCAGGATCTGGAGACCATCACATCACAGCTGATACAACAGCAGGCCTCTGGTGGCCCTGATCCGGGCTGAGACCTAAGGTCATCCGTGGGAAGACCAAGGCCTGAAGCCTGCCCCCTGCTCAGCCACCAACCTGGGAGAGAGCCCAGAGGCAGCCCTGCCTGCCAGGCTGTCTGCCTCCATCGCTCCCTTATTTACTCCTGCCTTCCTCCTGCCAGGATTCCCTGGCAGCAGAACTTGGGGTCCCAGGCTAAGCAGGGTAGATGGAGGAAGAAATCCCCAAGTTTTCCAGTCTTGGACACTTGAGGGTGACTGATGCCATGACAGGGAGCCAGGACAAGCAGGGGGTCCTGGTTAGGACTGAGGGACACATGGGAAAGAAGGGCAGAGGCTATGGATGCTGGGTCTGGCTGTGAGGGAACGAGGAGACACCGCAGACTGTGGAGGAGCCGGAGAAAACGGAGGGGGCCAAGAAACAGGCCAATGTACAGCCCGTGTGGGGAGAGGCTGGGGGGCAGCCAGCCACTGGGATCCTGGAGTCCAGATTTCAGAGGCAGAGGTCTGGGAGCTGTGACCCCAGGCCACGTTGGGTGGTTTGTGTGGTCTCCTAAGTCCCCTGGCTGGTGGCAGGGCCCTGGATCCTTGAGAGCTGCAGGGAACAAAGCCTCAGTGACTAGACTCCTGCTGAGGATCCTGGGGACCCCTCTCCAGCCTGGACCCCCTGTGCTAGCTGGAAATGGACCCTCTAAAACGGGCTTCAGCAAATTAGCAGGCGTGGGACCCAGCCCCCTGCCCTGGGTGAGTGCAGGCCGGGCTGGCCCTGGGCGCTGAGCAAGCTCTCTCACCTGCCCCTCACAGCCCCCGAGGCAGAAAACCCACCTCGGCGTCTCCTGACACACCCAGGGCCGGGGCAATGCACCTCTTGCTCCCAATCACTCGTGATGGTCAGGATCTGATGCTAGGCCAGGCTGCCAGTGCCCACATGTGTCTACCCGCCTGGCTGCTCTCAGTGCAGGGCTCCTGCTATGCGACCTCAAGCCTGGCCCCAAATACTTCACCCCAAAAGTAAGTTCAAAATCACGGCAGCTGAGGCCTGGCAGGGATCAAGGAGTTTTCTGATTGCTGGCCTCAGCCTGGGGGCACCCTGGGCCTGTACCCCGGGGCAGAGCAGCAGCTGAAGGAAGCTGTCGGGGTGAGCTGCAGGGTCAGCCTGGCCCTGGGGCTCCTTTCCCTCTGGCAGGACACAACTCTAGATGTGGCTGGGGGGATGGCCCACTCCTTTTACTCAGAACTAGCCAGGGGGCTCCTCCAACTGGGGGTCCAACATGCCTCAGCCCTGCACCGACCGTCCCAGGCCACATCCAGCCCTTCAGTTTCCTAGATAGGACCCAGCACTGATGTGCTATGCTGTCAAGCTCTCGTGGGTCTGCTGCTGGGTGGCCAGAGCAACAATCACCTACCAAGGCCGTCAATGGGCATGAGACGCTGCAGGCCTGAAGGGCCCTCGCAGGATAAGGGCCACCTTCAGGCCCAGATGCTGACTGTGGAGTCAGACCCCAAGTTCCGCTCTGCCCAGCTACGGGTGCTGTGTAGCCTTGGGCCATCCTTCACCCACTTTGGGCCTTCACATCCTTATCTGTAAGGCGCTGAGGCAGCCTCTGTGATCCCAAGCAACAGAGGTATAAATAGCAGCATCTACTTGGGAAAAGTCACACGGCCAGCCGGCCGGCAGCCGGCCCTTCCTTCCTCCAGTCGGCGCACCGCCAGGCCCCCCTTGCTGCTGGCACATGTCAGCCCTTCCCCTCGGGGCCCCTCCTCGCTCTAATTATAGCATGGGGTCAGAGAAGACAACGGTGGCTCCGGTCGGAAGTGTCACTCCCACCTCAAGGACTGCAAAGAGCTTCCCATCGTCTGAGAGGGACCTGTGTGCCCCCTCCCCTCCCACACCAGGGCCTGCTCACGGAGTCACCGGATAGTGGGAACGGGGGTGAAATGAAGGACCTGACACACAATCAGGCCTGCCTCTCTCCTGCAGAAGTCCTGGCTGCGAGGGCATAAGCGAGCGGGCCTCCGCTCCCTCGCCCCAGGTCCAAGTAGTGGCTCATGAAACGAGAGGTCCCTCAGGAGACAGCAGGGTCCTTTAAAGCACTCTCAGCTCAGAAAGGCCCTTCAAGTTCTTCAGGTTGACCCTCTTGGACTGGCCAATGCCCACAGCCTCCAGAAACTTTCCTCCAGCCCCACCACCACCTCCTGAAGATTCTCCACCCCACCCCACGCTTCTGCACTGCCAGCCCTTGACCATGTCGTGCACCCCACCTAGAACATCCTTCTTCCTCAGGATGCTCCATTAGTCCTCACAGGGCAGCGCCAAGGCTCCTTCTAAGAGATGATGTCCCTGACCCTGGGGGGGCTGGTGCCCCCTCCAGATTCCTACAAACCCCCACAGGGCTGTCTGCCACAGCACTTATCACCCAGCACTGTCACACGTCTGCCCCCCTCCAAGATGGTGAGGGCTCTGAGGACAGCTACACTGTCTCCTCTCCCGCTGTCCCCCAGAGCACAGGGCACATTAGTATCTGGCACAGCAAGAGCGCAAGTTAGAGACCAAGTGGGAGGCACTAATGTCTGGATCTGTGCAGCCCAACAAACATCTATTTGCAGGGAGCAGAGGAGCGCTGGGTCCAGTGGGGAGAGAGGGACAGTCTGAATGTCTCTGAGACTTACCTCTCCAAGCCCCAGAAACACTGCCTGAGCCCACCTGACACCTTCCTTCTATGAATCTTGCTCATTCTAGCCCCCACCCTGCCTAGGTAGGGCCTGACCTCTGTCTTCCACCCCACCCCCAGCAAGGAGATGGAGGGCACAGGAGTTAGAGGACAGGCTGGTACCACGCTCCCCCTCTGAGCACTCCCCCAGCACCTGTCCTAGGTCTTGTCATCCCCTCCTGCCAGAACCTCCAGGATGGCGAGGTGAGAGTGTGACCACCCTTGGGAAGATGAACTCCCCTCCCTCCCCAGCCCCCTCTGTCGGCCGCACGCGTGTGTCTATCTTCCTGCTCCTCTAGGGCCAAGGCTCTGGGAGGCCCTAGCCGGCTCAGGCTCTCACCCTCTCCTCCCACCCTCGCCCCAGGCCTCCAGCCAAGTCCCTCACACATTCCAGCAGCTGAATGAAGACAGAGAGGCATCTGTCTGTCTGTCCTGAGGCCAGGGTGCTGGGTGGCACCCTGGGTGGAGGCAGCCGGGAACAAGCCCTGAGCGTGTTGCATGGGCGGCTACTCTCCTGATTTCCTAGCCATTCTCTCACTCTCAGCCCCCACATCAGGAATGAAATAGACCCTGGGGACTGTTTCAGCCCTGCTCTCCCTGACCAGGCCACTTCCCTGGTTCAGGTCCTTATCACTTATCACTTGGTAGCAGTGACAAGAGTCACGAAGCATTGAATGCTAACCATGTGGCCAGTGCTGTGCTACACACTTCACATGTTTGCTCATTTAATCCTCAGAGCAACCCAGGAGGCACTCCCATCATTATCCCCAGTCTCCCAGGCTTAAGGGCTAATGTAACTTGTCTGTCAACACGGGTAGAAGCCTGGGCGAGAGTCCAGGGTCCTAACCATCAAA